GTTGAAGCGAATTGTGCTTTAAAACACATGTAAAATGTAAAATTCGAATAGTTATTTTCAATTACAAAGGCCGTCGCAACGACAGTGTGGGCGAAATTCAATATGTAGAGTCCTTGAAGTGGGGGTTTCATTTAGCCAGCGGTTCTATAAAGCTTCGTTTAGATCTAGTCATAAATAAATTACGTTACTCTTACTTCTAATATAGAATAATAAATAAAAAAATGAAAATGATAGTCTCGTGCGCAGCTAGTAGGAAAATTTCCCGATGCATACCATGGACGAGGAGGAGGAAAGCTTTTCACTAATGACATCATGCACTAAAAACGAAATTAACTATCCAACTAAGGGGATTATTCCCATGCTTCTTTGGAAACTATACAGCCCGCATGGGGGAATATTTCCCTTTCCTAGAGGTTTATCTTTTTTTCTATTTGATTTTTGTGATAGAAAGGTTTCAGACACTCCCCATATTAACGGATTTTATTTTTTATTGTCAATATATATGTATATAAATATTTATTTAAAGAAAAAACAAAACTTATGACACTACAACCGTCGAGACACATTTCAATTTCAATATACGCCTCTAAAAATTCATGTACACCTAAACCCACACATTCTGAGCCCCTATCCAAATAGTAAAGGAACTGTCCGAGCCAAACAGACCCAAACTATAACGATTTTGAAGTTAAACTTCGAAATTTCATTTAAAATGTTTGCCAATTATTTTTTTTTATTCCTGAGTAAAAACTCGTACAGCAGCTTCGAAGTTTGGCCTTAAAATCATTATAATTTGGCTCTTAGGGGGCTTATGGGCCAGGGCTCAAATTAAAGCTATTATACTATAACGAAATTGTTGTTCGAGTGAAATAGAATCAAGCAAATCATAAAAAGGCAATAAATTATGCATTTCTTAAATTGAGAGGTTATTTTTTTTTTTGGGTTTTGTATATTTTTTCAAAGAAGGATATTTTTTATAAATTTGTTTAAGGTCAAGCAGTATTTATGGCTTAACGGCAATATTTTTTGTGAAAGAGAATTATGTGCCTTAGCTTTCAAAACCATTTTGTTTGATATCAAAATATTTCTTCTATCGAAAGCGCATAGAGTGTGCATAAAGCGCACTGTGCGCCGTGAGGTGAAAGTTATTCGTACAAAAATACTATCAAAAGAAATTTTAGCTGAGTCCGAGAAAGTGACAGATTCCCATATAAGTTGCATAAAACCAATCTAATTGTGATCCGATTTTACTAGAATTTGATATCAATTACTTTTGTCTATAGAAGTATAAAAATCTATATAGATTGCTGAACTTTCATCCCCACTATATTATAAGGCAGATTTGATAAATATTATACGGCTTTAAGAAAAATTGGTTTTTGTATGGCTGGTGGGCGTGGCAGTAGGCGATTTTAACCATATTTAAAATTTTACGATTAAAACTAAGCTGCAAACCTAATTTCGTTAAAATCGGGTAACATTTACCATTTCCGCCCCCTGGTGTAGTGAGCGTCACAGCTTGCCAATCTATGCGATTGTTCAGATTTCTTCATTCCTAGGCAAAAATTCTACAAATAACAAGTTAGAGCAAAATCGGAGCACAATTAGTACTCTTTGCCATATTTTGTATGGGGCACTTCCACTGTGCAGCGCCGCAATTATCAATAATGGTGTATGCGATAGTACTCATCATTATTCGAATATTATCACTGTGCGTCGCGTCGCAAGAATAGTTTGGAATTACCCCCTGGTTAGAAAACTTGTTTTCGCTCTATCTCGATTACAAGGATTTAAAAAGGTATTTTTGGGTACTATATATGTATATATATGTATACTTATGTTTACTTACCCTTACAGATCCTATTGAAATAAATTAAATTATCCGACTACTTTGTCATCATCAAGTTTAATGTGTTTGTAATGAAAAAAGTTGTCATCACCATAAAGAGATGCATAACTCTCAAAACTACATTTGCAACTAAGAATCCCACATTAAAATCGAGTTGCGGTCACCCCTCGGCTGGCAATGGCAAACCCCCGAGTGAATTTCTGCCATGAAAAATAGCTTCTCATAAAAATAGGATCGCCTTTCGGAGTTGGCGTAAAACTGTAAGTCCCTCCCCATTGTGCTTCAATATCAAGGCGCACGCCTCAAATAGGAGGCGAAGCTCGGCCAAACACTAACATATGTATGTGTAAGCGCCAATCTGTATATATGTACATATAATACGCGAAGGCATTTTTTGATCAGCGTAAAAGATCTGCACCGTTCGTTCGATTTTCAAAAGTGAGGAGGGCTCGGGCTGTAGATATGCAATAAGGATTTATTTGTTTGAAAAGAGTTGCCACCTTTTAAACACTTATCTATATTCAAATTATTAGTATCAATTATTCAAAATGGGTATTAGTCGAAATGGTTTTGACAGGCTTTTTTTTTAACTTAACTATAGGAGGGTTTTCACCTGTATAAAAAAAATAAAATTCAATTCGAATAAAGGGAAATGGGGAAGAGAAGTATGTATGTACCACCATATGGGTGCCAAATGAAATGGTTTTAAGAAGGTAATGGTTTAAAAATATTTTAAACAAGGTTGCCACCTGCTTGAAATGTCGAATTTAATTAACTTGTACACAAATTATATGAAACATCAGAATATGAATGTCAAACGAAAGTGTGTTAAGAAATCTTTATTTTCAACGCTAAGACCGTTTTTGAGGTGATGAAAAAGGGTTGCCACCTGTTTAAATAGTTAAATTCAATATATTGAATAAGTTAAACGAATTATTACAATTTGGGTATTAATCTAAGGGGTTTCAAAAATCTTTTTTTTCTGAACCATACTTACTGGGGTTGCCACATGTTTGAAAAATCAAACTCAACTTAATTTATCACTTAATTAAAATATGTATCGCAATGTTAGACAAAGGAGCCTTAACAAGAGTTTAGCTTGAAAATACTTTTCAAGAGGGCTGCCATCTGTTGGAAAGGTTTACTTTAATTAACTAATGCAAAGTTTATGTGAATTATATAAATACGCGAATGAAACGAAAGATTGTTAAGAAATATTTAGTCTGAACATTTGGAACGTTTGATAAGGGCTGCCACGTGTTTCAAAAGTTACATTCAAATTATTCAATAAGTATGACGAATTATTAAAGGATGGGTATCAATCGAAATGGGTTTGAACACTCACATTCAAATTAGTTCGTCTGCTATTGAAACACACGTGCATCATAATGTCAGGCGAAAGAGATTTAAAAAGATTTTATTTTGAAATAACTTTGAAAAGGACTTCTACCTGTTTGAAAAGTCGAATTTACATAACTAACGTATACACAAGTTCTATGAAATATTTAGATATGGATGTGAATCGAAAGAAATATATGAAAGCTTTAGTTTGAAAATACCTTTAATTAGGCTGGCCGCCTTTTCGAAAACAAAAACACATCGATATAAAAGTATAGGTATATGTAAATATGTGTATTATACGGAAATCTTATTTGTATGATAGTTATTTTCATCGTTCTTTTGAATTTCAAAAAGGGGAGGTCAAATTAAAGACCTTAACCCGTAGATATGCAATAAAGTTTTATTTTGTTATTTAAGATCTTTTTTCTCGGTAAAGGGTGATTTGAAATTTGATGAAATTAAAAACCTGCACCACGCAAGACCTCCTCTCTTCACTAAAAAACGGCTACACGNATTTGTGGTCACCGTAATTATACGGGAATCTTATTTGTGTGATAGTCATTCGATTTTCAGCGTTCTTTTGAATATAAGAAATGGGAGATATGCGATAAAGTTTTATTTTTTTACTTAAGATCTTTTTTTCTCGGTAAAGGGTGATTTGAAATTTGATGAAATTAAAAACCTGCACCACGCAAGACCTCCTCTCTTCACTAAAAAACGGCTACACGGATTTAGATGAATGATCAAATTTCAATTTATTATTACAGTAATAATCTTCCCCATGGTATTTGTAGAGGATTTAGATAACCAAAACGAATACATAAAGGCTAGCCGCCATGCTTTAAGCCTAACATTAGCCATATTTTATGGCTCTACAAAAATTCTAAAGTCGAATATTATGCAACCAACAACTCGAAGTATGAACCAACAATGAAGAGATATTTATGTAATCAATTCATAGAAAACGATAAATATTCTTTAGAAATCGGTTGGTAATAAAAAGAAACTTTCGCTGATCTTTCGTTGTTTAGGCGACAAAGAAAATTCATGGCTTCTACTTATGTAAAAGTGTTTATTTGTGTGCTGCTCTAACTATAAAGAATATGTATACAACTTTGACTCTTTTGTGATATTTTACAGCAACTCTAAATTAGATACGCTCAATCAAGTCATAAAACGCAAACAATAAAAGCTTGTTTTAACGCCTAATCAACGCTTGGGAGGCCATGACGACGCGCTAGTTATTCGTAGAGAAAGTAACAAAGAAGAAATTATATATATATATACTACCTCTTTATCAGAGTTCATTAGGCTAGCAACAATAAAAAAAAAAATTGTGTTTTTATTCTTAAAATCTAACCAGTTTAGNTGTAATCAATTCATAGAAAACGATAAATATTCTTTAGAAATCGGTTGGTAATAAAAAGAAACTTTCGCTGATCTTTCGTTGTTTAGGCGACAAAGAAAATTCATGGCTTCTACTTATGTAAAAGTGTTTATTTGTGTGCTGCTCTAACTATAAAGAATATACAACTTTGACTCTTTTGTGATATTTTACAGCAACTCTAAATTAGATGCGCTCAATCAAGTCATAAAACGCAAACAATAAAGCTTGTTTTAACGCCTAATCAACGCTTGGGAGACCATGACGACGCGCTAGTTATTCGTAGAGAAAGTAACAAAGAAGAAATTATATATATATATATACTACCTCTTTATCAGAGTTCATTAGGCTAGCAACAATTAAAAAAAAAATTGTGTTTTTATTCTTAAAATCTAACCAGTTCAGTGCTAGAAAATATTGACTTACTGCTTTTGTCGCTTGCACGAAGCTGCAGTTGTTGTTTTGACTGCTGCTGAGACTACTATTGTCGTTGCCTCACTTATCCCAGCGCTGCGGTGACCTTCCAATTCTCCTGGTATTTTTCCTGCAACCGCACAACTCATATCCACTTGATCGTTCCCTGGCATGCGCGCCAACTGCTCTTCAATGTCACTTAGCTGCGCGTCGTCGGGTATGGGTGCTGCATTGCCACTGCAGCCATCGCCGCCGCCATCTAACCACACAGCATTGCGATTGCGACGTACTTTCAAATTGCGTAGATCGGCAACATTTAGCGTGGCAGTTGTTGACATTGTTTCCTCATTTGTTGTAACTTTCTTTGCTACAGCTGCTGCACTTACTGCAGCTACCACTTCAACTACTGGCTTTGCGCACATATTATCTCTTGCTGCCGCAATTTTAGTGGTTGCTGCTTCTCCTGGCGTACGCCGCTTGGCCGCCTCTTCATTGCGCCTCAAATTGGCTGTGAGCTGTGCCACCTCAGCCTCAATTAATGCATCCTCAGCGTCCTCCACATTCTCTTCTACATCATCAGCAATGTTCGATGCCAGCAGCCGCGGCACTGGTGAGCCACAACTTGCTTCAGATTGCGTTTCACCATCGCCGCACGAGATGCCCGATGACAGAAATGTGTCATCCAAATGGTGGTGGCTGTGGTACTGTTGTTGGTGCTCCTTTTTTTGGCTGCGACTTAGTTTGCTGCCGGAATTCGATGGACATACCAGCGCCTGTTTTCGGCCTGTTGTTGTTGTTACCGCGAGTGCGCCCGGATTTGGCAATGACTCGAAACAACTTAGGCGACTAGTGGAACGACTCATGTCGTAGCTAATGAGGCTGGATTGCTGTGAATGTGTTAGCAAAGCGCCAGAGGAGGGTGAGGGCTGTGCGTTCAGTGTAGAGAAGTGATGGTCGGTGACGGTTCCAGTTTCGGCATTGATACACGACGACGCGCTGGCTACTGACCGTGTCTGCGACAACTCGCCGACATCGAGTGCCATGTCATTTGGCAGCAGCGACAATTTCAACGGCTTTGCCAAATGTTGAAGCGCATGTGGATGCTCTTGTTTTTGTGAAATTTTATGTCGCTGCTGCATATGCAAATTACTGAATTGCTCTTTAAGTGGTTGCTGCTTATCAGCGCTTTGCGCTTGCTTTCCATGCTTGGGACAGCGCGCATTGGCTGTATTCGGCTGTTGCGGCAGCGCGCCTAATGCCTTGCTCTCGCAGGATGCCTGCGCGGGCTTACTAGCAACATTGCTACTGGTCTTAGCGCTACGGCTGCAGTCATTGTCGGTAGACTTCTCTGCGGCGTTTGTGTTGCTTTTATTGCGCGGCTCACCACTCCGGCTCCCCGCCGTCGCGCTTCCGCCAACCGCTGCGCTGTTCTCCGTAAATGGCGTGCGGCGACAATGTTGACGCTTTTGGCCGCAATTTGACGCCTTCAATTTTCGTGGCGTCAACTTCGTGACTTTGGAGACGCTCGATTTGTGGCAGCTGCTATCGACGCGGTGCAACATACCACCGCCGCCAGATACATTTGTTTTTTGCATTGCTTGCTTGGCAACCGCTAACTGTTTTTTCCGCGCGCCGCCTCTGCTATTTGTCGCAATCTCTGGCAACTCTTCGCTGCCTTCAATCGCAGCACCCGCTGACATTTTGCTACCTACACGCCTGCGACTACGTCTTATGCTCGGCATGTTGCGAGGAAATAATTTTGCGCCATCATTTAATGAGCTCAATGAACGCTGTGATGCGCTGCCACTGTCCAATGACAAAGCTGTGGAGTGAAGTGAATCAGCAGCCTCCGGATTACATGCGGTAGTGATTTTATCTTTATTTGTTGTCGGAGTTGTAGTAATTTTTGTTGTTCTGGGGCCTTTGTTCGCTACCGCTTGTGTATCGCTTGCGCCGTAGCTAATTTCACGGTAAAATTTCGACGGATCATGACCATAAACAAAACAGATTTTCCACCAATTTTTCGTGGCAAGCAACTGGGCGCGGCGGCCCAATGTTTTGGGTAGCGGCAAATATTGTTGCGCTGCCTTTTTCGGATGCAATGCTTGCAGAGCGTGCGACATTTTTTACCGTTGTCAATAAATCAAGCACGAGTTGGAGAATAGTTTTTGATTTTCAATTTGAAATGTGGTCAGGGAAAAAGGAAAAATAACAGAAATTGCATGCACTACTAATAAATCAATTTCACGCCACACTGCGGCTCATTTACGCGCACCACCGCAATCAGCGCGCACAAACGAAAATGGAGCAGCATTTGCGCTCTGCGTGGCACGCCTATTTTCAATACATGGCCTTTTGCAAGTAGAAAACAAGAACAGATACTGCGTTACAGGAAAACTGCAAGAAATTCTTTTGCAAAACCACGCACTCTCAATCGCGCACGCGGCCAAACGTAAATAATTGCAAATCGATCGCTGCAACGCGGCCGAAATAGTCAGTTAGGCGCTCGTCTGCCAGCCTTCGATTGGACGTCAGACAATTACTGTCAATGGCAATTATTCTGATACACGAACAGCAAGACGCGCAAAATCGTGTTCTAATTACGTGCCCCGGATTCACACACACACTTAGATATCGACGTGCAATTGTATTGGAGTATTTGCGCTACAACAAAATCGAACGATGCATGCACAACTGAAGTAGACCGTTTTTTTACGTTTTTCTTATTAATACATTTGTATTTATATTTAATCAAAACAAAAATATTTGAAGCGCATGCGCGAACGTACGCGATATGAAGTTTCTCTTCGAAAAAAAAACCGGTCGGGTCGATTTGCGCCTACGACCTAGCGCGCCTGAAGTTCGTTGCAAACTAACCGCTTGTTGAAGAGCGCGCTTGGCGTATAGCAGCGCATTCGTATCAAAATGCAAGAATGTGGTGAAAAACGTGAGTCCGCAACTTAATTTTGATAAAGACGAAATTCAAAAGAAAGTTAACCATTGGAGAAAAGGTAGCAACAAAAATACCTGTGAACGTATGCGCAACACCCAGATGAACATCAACAACACCTGGTCAACATAACGACCACCAAACCCACTACTACCACCGCAGAGGTATCGAAACAGTCAAAACAGTTTGTAAACAACAAGCGCATGCGGCGCTCACCGCTCGTTAGCGCGTACGATTGAATGATGAGTGGTGATTTCCAAAAAGCACCACACTGGTTGCACGGTAATTCATATTTACCTTGGTTACATGCATATGTATATCTATCCAACAGGTGCACTAGCAAGCAAGTTTGTTTACTAAATGCCATAGAGTTAGAGAGAACTCGAAAAATGATAGCAATCTACTAAACCGTACTTGGAACTCACCTCTTTCTACTAAATAGCATTCTAATGAGGTGAATTTGCTAACCGACTCTCTCTCTAGCCAAGTTTCCTAAGCCTCTCTTAACTGTTTCGTTCCTCTCGCTCCGTTTTACCATTCCCTCATTCTCCATCAACAACCAAACTAGCTGCACCTTCCACTCGCTTCTCGTTCACTTGGGCATGTGGCCTTTGGCGCTGCTCTTTTGGCGTGTTCCTCATTGAACGCGCCTATTTTTAAATAATCGCTGTCGTTTTTTCACTAGCCGCTCGAGGTCATTTGACACAATTAACGTGGCTTAAGGAGCAATCGTTCTTGTTTTATGGGTAATGATTGATGCTAGTGTTTGTTGGAGAGTTTATTGGGCTTTGAAAGCAATGTTGCCTTGCAGGTGATCGGCCAATAATCGCCGCCGTTACGCATCGAAAAGTAGATCAGACGCAGGAAATGTAGCTTAGGTGAAATTAGTACGCGTTTATTATAAATGAGAAAGTGTTAAGGCGGCAAATGTTAGCGAAAAAGTACAAATTAAGCTGTAATTTTGACATATTTCAATGCCTCCTGGCATTTTCATTTCTGTCTACTATTAAAAGCTGGTTTAATTTGACCCAATAATCTATATGCTCAACGACGTAAAATATTTAGCTGTAATCCTAGTTGGTAAACTTTTATGGAAGTCTCAAGTCAAGCCAAAGACTTTTAAAGCTTTATCAGCCATCTGATAATGTAAACGGGTCTTTCGTTAAACTTGGGGTCTGTAACCTAGCGGAATGCTGTGCGTTTACAACTCTATGATAATATACATAATTATCATCAGCTACGAATCTGTGGTGTGATGGTGCAGACTCTCAATCAATAGCTTGGAAAATTTGCTTGCCAAACTTCTAAGAACGACCGCAGTGCGCTGTAAGGGAGCTTTTCCTACAACACCTGCGGCTGCTCTAGATGCTTTCCTAATCCTACGGGCACTTAATATTTTTATCAGCGTGGAGGCCCTTAAAGCCACATATAGGTTTAAAAGAAATGTGCGCTGGTATGATACAGTATCGAGTGGGGCGGAAATTGCAGGAGGCAGAGATATAGACGTGAATATATTTTCAATACCTCAGGAAAGTACGCCAACGTTGCATATGTTTAAATATTTTAGCATCTTTACTGATGCCTCCAAAGCAGAAAATCACTTCTCTCTTGGGGAAATTGTCTTGATATTTCAATCCTCAATGCAATGCAATGTGTGGGGGGCTTCGAGGAACTACAGGTAGGCAAAACTCATCTTAATCTCTATATCAGAGAGCCTTACTATGTCTGTAATAGCCATACATTAAAATGCTATTTGTGCTTCCTGCCTTAAAGACGATGAGACAGCAGAATAATTTCTGTGTTTCTTGCATGCCTTTGCAAGTTTTAGGTATGAGGCTTTTGGCAGCGATATCTGAGCTCTTCAACACCCAACAATCTGCACCGATTTAATCGTGAATATGAGTAGTTTATCTGACAGAATGTTTTCTGCAGCAGCCGTGTTTTGTTCCGAATGATGGTACAACGACTCGGGTCATCCCGCCTGAAGAATGGGATTCATATATTTTTTTTAATGTTGTTCCCTCCATAGCCTTAGTAAACTCTGGATATCGGTCGCAATATTTCTTCCTAGAAGAATTCGCCCTTGGCTTGATATTCTTAATGTAAGTTGCCTAACTTTCTGATAAAAAATTTCGGGCCAATTGGATATGCCAAATGAAGCCAAGAGTTTCTCTGTAAGTTACTTTTCATCGCACATGAAGCCTTCCTTTGCCACCAGTATCATATCCGCGATTTGATCTGCCGCACTATATCACATTTCATGCTCTTTGCGCTCAGTTCGGACCTTCTTTTATTACAAAAAAAAATCTCCTGATTCCCTCTTCAGCTCGGTATTTTGCTTCTACTCTGTTTTACGTGGTGGGTCCCAAAATCCGCGCAGATCCAGAATCTGGGTAAATTTTTCAGCCTAGTTTACATGGCGAGCTGCTTTCTCCAAACCACAAAATGTCCGATGGCGATTTAGCGAGGCCTTACACCGACCATGTTGCAGTGGCCATACCGAAGCATCATTTATTTTTGTCGTGACCCAAGGCTTCGGACGGTTTAGTTACCGCATCTCGCATATGGGTTGCTCAAGAAAAGCAAGCATATCCCATTATACTGCTATATCCTGCTCCAAAATTAATGAGACCCCTTGAAAACTTCGCTTGTGGTGCTTATTTTAAATGATTCCATAAATGAGCACAGACTTTAGCACATTGGTCTTAAAGCGACTATTATAACGCACATTTTCGCAAAATCTTTAATGCACAAAATTAATATGTCACATCCAACCCAAATCAAAACACAATCGGGTAATTCTATTTGCTAAACTACTAGAATGTACATTTTTAATGAGTCACTCACCTTCTAGACATTCAATATTCCAGTTGCCAAAGTTTCATTAACTGAAAATCACAAGTCCTTGATGTAAAATCTCCTTANTTATATACATTTTTAATGAGTCACTCACCTTCTAGACATTGAATATTCCAGTTGTCAAAGTTTCATTAACTGAAAATCACAAGTCCTTGATGTAAAATCTCCTTAAACTTCAGGAATCACTGTTGTAAAGAGAATGAAAGAAGCGTAAAGAGAATTTCAGATATTAAAGCAAATATTTACACAGTTAGCTGGAGCGTTAGTAATTAATTTAGCTAATTAGTAGCGGGGAGGAATCACAGTGAAATTCTTTAGTACCCAACAAGCAAACAAACTGTTGTCCTTCAGTTACACTCAGTTATTTGTGGGCGTATGTAGGGTAGACTTTATCTACGTGCTACACTTCTGCAAAATTAAACAAGCAAATAAATAACTAGAGGAAATATTTTAATTACTACCAAGTGGGGTTGAGTAGGAAGGGAAAAGAGCATCACATAAAATAAATCAGAAAGAAATTTAAAATGAAAGAATAGATGGTACTGAGATACTTTGAAGTGACATTGTTGCCGCTCTTCATATTGAAAAGGATATAAGTACAAAAATCTACGTAAGGCTAAGGCCTTCAGGTTACTAACTGTAACTGTTTTTGCAAAGTTACCACAATAAAAAAACAAACAAAACTGTCAAGTCACAGGAGTACATACTAGAGTGTGTCTCTTATTTTTTATTTATGTATGTACTTACATATGTACATTGTATTGCCTCATCAACAAAAGATTGGGACTTCCCTAAGCAAAGCATAAAATTCTGAAAATTGTTTGACTATTATGGAGAACGAAAAATTACAATGAAGATGGCACAATGCCGAAACCGGCATGTCTCCAAACCAAATATACTAAGGACCGTAACAGTTACAACTTTAATTAAAAAAATCGCTCTTTAATACTTATTGTTTGACCTTTATTTAATTACTCTTTAAATAACAGTCTTCTTATTTTTATTTTACAAATCCAAAATAACAACTTTTTATAAATGCAAATCTTCAATAACTGCTATCTAAGACATATAATATAAAAATCAAAAATAAATNCACTTATTGTCTTCAATAACTGCTATCTAAGACATATAATATAAAAATCAAAAATAAATATTTTTTATATATTATTTAGATAAAAATTTAAAATAATTTGTATTTTGTACTTATAAAGTAAAAATCTAAAATAATTGTAATTTTTTTAATTTAGCATACAAATTACAAATAAAAATTTATTTTCAAATTTTATTCTCGGTTAATAAAGAAATGGATTGGTATTGTATCACTTAATTGTAGAACATTTCCTTCATAGTGAATTTTTCAATGACAGTTTTCCTTAATACCTGTTATGCTTGGTCCCTGAAATTTACCAAGGGATGACGGAAAATCGTTGATAGAAACGGGTTTTCCTAAAAATAGTAGACTTACACCAATATATCCATGGCTGAGTGGAAGATCGACCTATCTCGGCAGACAGTTCGAAAACGCGCGTTCTCAGAAATTTTTTCAGTATATAAACATCTGTGTTCGTATGGAAAAGTAGCTTATGTCGAAGGGCTGGATTTAGTATAAATCGGCATTCGCAGCATACGATTGCGAATGACTCACAGGCACTCACGTTGAACAACGTTTGGCAAATAAGCGTGCAAGAAATAGTTCCGATACTAGCAAGTCAATATTATTATTAAGTCTCATCGAAAAATTTCTTGTCGTTTAAAGAATAAAGGGAATGCCGCATTATACTAAAGCCAGCCTTTCGAAATAAGCTACTTTTCCATACGAACACAGACATAAAAGGTTTACATCAGTAGTTAAATTTTTAACACAATTTTCGACAACTTGTTAATGCAATAGGGGTACGTCATCAAGGAGCGTTCTATCAGCCTCTTTTCTGGATCATCGTCGGCGATGTCCTGGAAGAGGTGGAAAGGGAAGATGCGGCAGTTCAGATGCAACTTTCACCACACTATATGATCTCACCCGGGGGTTTTTAAATTTAGTCGCAAATCGGCC